AGGGGGGGGGGCACAAGATCTGGCTTTCGCTGAGGCTACCAAACCTGTTGTGCAACAATATCACTGCCAGTCATATTTATATTTTAAGCCCATTTTACACAATACATACGACATCCGTTGTGAGGTCTCATGGGTAGGCTCTCAGTATTACATACAAAGGGCTAGAGTTCGGTTCTCGTGTTGAAAAAAAAACCCCTCTATTATCGAGTATCTTCCTTCTCCTGGATCTCTCTACTGCGATGAACTATCCATCCAACATGGCACAGTTTGGCCCTGCATGGCAGACAAGGTTAAAGCAATCTCAACCAATATTGTCTGTTTAGTGTTGATTACAGTGTGAAACTTTCAAATTTTAAGGTACAATACTTTAGGCCGGTCAGTTCCTTCTAATCATTTGTTGTTTGTTGATGACAGAGGTATACATTGTGCAAGCGTTTGGGTGTCTTTTACTTCCGATGCGAGGAATTTGTTATTAAGGAACTTTTAATTTGCCGAATTGGTCTCTTTTAAGCACAAGGGGGCTATTCCGAAAAAAGCTGTTTTGAGAAAATCGAAGGTAAAGTTTTTGCCCCTTGTTCAGTTTCTTTAAAAGACAAGTTGAGTTTTCTCTTTAACCAAACTAATATACACACCAATGGAACCAAAATTCTCCTATAGGTAGGGCAATGCTCACTTTTTTTGTAGGTCAAGATTTCTGGAAACCCCCGGAATCTGAGTTAGCCCGCTCGTCTTTAAAGGCGACAAGTTATAGTGGGAATGTCCCTGGTTCGAATCCTCAATGTGGTTTTCTTGAGCTTGGGTTGTTTAGACAAGTAGACATTTTGAGACGCTCTAAAACTTTTACGAACTACTACTCTTAGTACAAGTATCTTAACCCTATCCGTACGCCCTGGGTCATTTTGAACCGTCATTTTATTGACGAGCGCCTGATTCCATAGCGTCGTGACACATATTAAAATCAACTTGATTCTTTTTTTTTCTTTTTCAGACGTCGAGCCAGCCGTAGAGTTGGTAATTCAAACATGCAGACAGAAGAGAGAGGTCACCACCACTGCAAGGCTTTATGAACGTGACAGTAAATACGGCGTGAGTGAAAGTGTTCGGAGTTCAAATTTCTCTTCGACTCACATTGGGATTTTGCGTCCTTTATGCTGAGTTATTTGAGGTTCTGGACAAAATATTGTACGCTTGTGTTTGCTTTGCTTCTTTCGTTGAAAAACTCTGGCTCGAGATGACAGTATTTGGAAAAAGAAAAGTGTTGCTTTTTCTGTTCATCGTGAACGAAATTAGTAACTAGTGGCCTGGGTTTACAGCAGTTTCTAGACCTAGGTCTAGTAGGTTGAGCAAGTAATTATAATATTGATTGTGATTTCGGATACGCCAGGATAATATCCAAGGAAGGAGGTTCTTTTTCCGTGGCGTGTTTTCTGTCCATCCAGCTTTTGTTGTATAAAAGAGAGAAGAGAAAACCAACAACAAATACAACACACACGAATAGTTTGGTTTCGTATCACAAACAAACGAACAAACAAACAAGCTCATTGTGATCCCAGATTCCAGATAAAAATGGAAGACAAGAAACCTCTCGCAGAGAAACTGATCCAGTTCCGAGGGATCTGGTTAGCCAAATACATGGTCAAAGACTCGTTAATCCGGGCCATCAGCCAGGACTACTCCAGCAAGCCAGCCCGTCCGGCCATGTTCGTTCTGTCGCCCTCAGGAGTGACGTTAAACGTTCTGCCCACAGTGGACGGTAAGCCTGGCAGAACGGTCAAAGTCTCCTTCGAGTCGCTCCGGGACATCACGTCAAACAGATACGCCCCTCGCTGCCTCCTGGTCGTGTGTCTGGACAACAAGAACATGTTCAGCATAATGGTCTGCTCCGCGGAGCACGAGTCAGATTGCAGAGAGTTGGCCGCTGCTTACACGGACTACCGCAAACTCCTGATGCTGAACAGATCTCATCGAGAACGACAACTGCAGCAACAACAGCACTTGGGTGTCCACAACTGGACGCTCCGGCCAGGAGCTGGGGGTTCTAGGAGGCAGGTGGAAGACGAGGAGGGTCACTACAGCAGAATCAGCAGCAGCAACTACAACCACAACCACACCAGCAACAGGCGAGGAACCAACAGCAGCGAGATCTACGAGACGTTGGATGGGATGGGCGAGAGGCTTCTGTCCGACTCTAGCGTGGAGGGGGAAGTCTTTGTGGTGCCGGAGGGTGAGGGCGCTTTACGTCAACGTGTTCTTCTTTTCTTTTATCGTCACCGTGGTTTTTGTTGTCGTCGTTGTCATCATCATCATCATCATCATCATCATCATCATCATCATCATCATCATCATC